ATCCACCCCCATCCACCCCACCCCATCCCACCCCATCTCATCCCATCCCGTCCTTCCTCCTCAACCCCATCCACTACCCTCCACTCCACTCCAGCCCTAACCAACCACCCAGCCCTACCCAGCCCTACCCAGAAACCAAACAAGCAAGCAAGCAAGCCGAAGCCAGTACTAGGTACCCCCCCCCCCGCCGACTCTCCCGTCCTCAACGCCCGATGGAAATAGTAGCAACAGACCAAACAGGAAGGGAAAGGACGATATCAACTTCTTCTTCCCCCTCCTCTCTTCCTCTCTCCTTCTCCCCCTTTTCCTTACTTCCTCCCCCCCCTACTCCCCCCCCTTTCCTTTCCCTCTCTCACAATCAAGTTCACAAATGTTAAGATTTTCCGAGGGGAAAAAGGGGCAAAGGGGCAAAAGGGCAAAATGAAAAAGGAAAAAGGAAAAAGGAAAAAAGGAAAAAAAAAGGGGGGGAGGTACCTATCGATCGGACCTCATACAAGAAAGTAAGTAAGTAAGTACCAGTAGGTACCTACCGGGGACAGCAAGTCAAGGCTTGGACTCAGAATCGAAACATGTGAACATGTGAACATGGGTTTTGCTACGGTACCGGTACCTAGGTCGACGAAGGTACCTACCGGTACCTGTACCGGTACCGGTAGGTCGGAGATGCTAACTACTTTCTACGACCTACCTACCGTACTACGGACGTACCGGTAGTACGGACGGGGAATATTTTAAATTTTTAATAATCGAAGAAGATGGAAGGTTGATAGGGAAAAGACTGATTAGATTAGAGAGAGTAGTGCGCTATTTCCTACGTATCCTCGGGACAGTGGGGAGCTGGGGGATACGTCAAGAATACACACACACACACACACACATTTATTTACATATATATATATATAACTTGTGTGCTACATAGAGTCTTGCTAGACTTGGACATCTATCTACCCGGCTTTCCACAGCGGCAACCAATGACTATGCGAACTCGTCCTACCCTAAAGGGAAATGCAAGGGCTTTCAAACCGTCAGCAGATCGTCTAACAACCCTCTCTTCAAAAAACCATTCCAAGAGGTGAGTCAGCATAGGTAGCTAATACTAATAAATCCCCCCAAGCCGATACTCAAAATCAAATCAAACAGAATCCAAAAACAACCGATTCAAACCATTCAAAATCCCAGCTTTAGACCAAAACCATTTCCATCGATTAGACCTTTTTTTTTTTTTTTTATAAGAGCTCGTCTTTTCGTTCTCAACGATTATTGCTAAAACCAGACCGCTTTTGATCGGTTAAATCGTCGTTTGTAAGAGTCGGTCGGTCGGTTTTTTTACGAAGAGATCGTTTTGAGACCGCCGTCCCATGGCTATCTTGAAAGGGGGGTTAAAAGATTCTTTCTTTACGTGCTTGTACGAGGTGCTTTTTTACGAACTTTCTGCTCTTTTTCTTTCTCGCTCTTTCTCGCTCTTTCTCTTGCGGTAGAAAGAAAGATAAAAAAAAAAGAGAGAGGGGCTAAAGAGCCGAAATCGAATCATCGACATGCGACGTCTCTTTTCGAGCAGATCTTTCTTTTATCGGCGATTCCGAACCCTTTTTTTTTTGTTTTTTTGTTTTTCCTTTTTTGTTCCTTTTTTGTTCCTTTTTTTTTTTTCCCCTTCTCGAAAACCACCCCAACGACAATCTATACCTACCTACCCACCTAACAGGCACACCGAGTGAAGAAAAGCCCCCAGAGGATCTGCGATAAAAAAAAAAAAAAAAAAAAAGGAGGAACGCGTATAAGAGATGAGAGAAGAAGAGCTTACCGGTATTTACTTACTTACTTACTTACTTAGGTACTTACTTACTTACTTAGTTCGATCCATCCATCCATCCATCCATCGAAAACACGACATCGCGCCTTCGAAATCAAGAAAGAGCCTCCTGCCAACACACCGACCGGCTCTATCCTCTATCTAGCTAGTATCCCAAAGCCACGAGCGCAAGCCTTCTCAGCCTTTACGATAAAAGAAAATCGATGTCTATCTTTACTTACTACCGGTACCGGTACTTATACATACGGCTCGATCGAGGCCGCGCGCAAAAGCTATACATACATACATACATACATACATACATACACACACACACACGTACGTATACGATACGATGCGACAAACAGTCATCGAGAGAGAAAACTCCACGCCCAGCACTATGAATTGCTTGCTTTCAGGCGGTTTCTAAAGCGTGCGGCTAGGTAGGTCTTTAACGAGAGGGGTTTCCCCTCACGTGGGGTTTCTTTTTATTCTCGATTGATTATATAGATAGATTTTTAGATAGATAGATAGATACCGGTAGTAGGTAGTAAGTAGTATTTTGTATATAATTCTTTTACGTAGCACGTCGCTGTGCGGGTGCTTTATAAGAGGTCTTTAGGGTCTGAGCATTGCGTTTTGGGATACCCGCTTGACGTTAATAGATGCAATAATAATAACAACAACAACATGGTCGTCTTATAGCCGTCCCCGAGCTTGAAACCGTCTCGGAGAACGTGAATTAATAAGCAAATAATCTCTTTTTCTTTTCAATTACTTGCTGGTTTACCTTATACTACCTGCACCACCCCCTTATTTCACCAACCTCACCCCAGAGCGAAGGCACCGCACTACCACCGCGGCTAAACTTCTACTAACTCAATCGATTCCGACTAGAAAAAAAAAATGAAAGCGTTGATATATATACCGGTACAAGCCGTAGCAGCGACACCGAGAAAGATCTTGCTTAGCGTCGAACTAATTAAATTATTCTTAAAACGATTCTATTTAAGAGATAATTTTCATCTATAACGACCTTAAAGAGTGGGGTAAGGGGTCATTTAAATGGTCCTCTGATCCTCTTTCACAAGAGACGGCCATGAGACCGCCTAAATTCAAATACTCAGCTCTTTTTAAGAAGAGTTGATCGAGAAGACCGTCTTGTAGCCGTCTTATAGCCGTCCTCGTCTATATTTTGTAAAACAGGCTTATCAACAAGCTCGTTTTCAAAAAAAAAAAAAAAAAAATTGAAATAATCCGATGACCGTTCTACAGAAGATGTAATTATAAGTGAAAATTACCTTTTAGATAAGAAGATTGTTTCAGTGATAATTTAAAAAAGTTCGACGCCACGATCTTTCTCGGTATCGCTACGACGGCTTGTATACCGGTATCAACGCTTTCATTTTTTTTATCACCGAAATCGATCGATTTAGCAAAAGGTC